CAGCTCTGACCTTTTCACCACTTCCCTTAATTACACCACACACACAGAAATATTATGCCAGATGTTCAGATCTGAAGAATTCCTGCTGCTTTGGAATGTGGGCCATTCTGGAAAATAAAATGAACAGTCAAAGCAGAAGTCCATACAGGTGTGGGTGGAGACCAAAGAAATGTATATCCCTCCTGGAGCACTTTATTCATTTCTTTCCACTTGGACTGCATTTTTTAGGGGTTAAGCTAATGTAATTTTTGGAAAACCACATGTACTTTAATAGCTAAATAAACAGGCCAGAGTAGCCAATGCTTTGTTTTAGTTACAAAGTTTGTGAAAGCTGGTGTGGCAGAATCACATGTGATATTATCACTTTGTCTTATTTAATACACATTTTTACAGCAGACATGAAGAAAAGAGATGCAAATGCAGTGTTTTAATATCACAAATGAACTACAGGAAAAATACATTTATATTATTACTCAGTGGTGTCAAACATATGGTCTGAGGACTAGAATCGGCCTGGGAAGGACTTTAATGTGGATGTCTTTGGAAAATAAGGAATACATTTTGACCTTTAAACTGCATATTCAGATTTTTTTTTACAGCTTTTTCTACTGATTAAGACTTTTCCCCCACAGCCATACATACTACAGTAATGAAGCTACCGATAAATCATTAAATGACAGTAAAGTTCCGTTTTTTCCACAATCTACATGCCTGTTCTTTTTACGCCTCCACAGAAAATAAATAAATACAATGAATGAATTACCTTTTTTTTTTTTTAGCTTTATTAATACAGGACAGCCTGGGCAGACTTTCACACATTTATTTCTTACAATTTCCGCCCAAAGAGTCTTGCAGAGTCCACTTTCTTCCACTAACATGCTGCAGCATTTCTAAACTGCACTTCTTTTTCTTATATTGAGAAGCCTCGGGAATGAAATGTGCAGTAAAAAACTACTTTTCTCTTAAAGAAAGTGTCACGACATCAAACGAGCTCGGCATCCCTGGTATCGAGTATAAGCCGGGGCAGCCGCGCACGAGCGAGAAACGGTCCATTTGAAACACGGCAGAAGTAACAATGAAACGAGCAAGGAGCCGCAAACTTCCCGCCAAAGGTGCCCACAGTAACGTGACGCGACTCTTACCTAAAAACAGGCAGAACAGATCCACTCCGACCAGCAGCTTCCTCCTGCTGTGGTCTTTGCAGTTATTGTTGTTGAGCGAACTCCCGCCGTTCTTCGTGTTGGCTGCCATGGCTTTCTCATAGATCAGACAGCGTTGCATTTAAAGCGTTTGCGTGTTTGGTTAAAAAAAAGGAGGAGGAAGCAGAATAAAAATTAATTGATAGCTGTTGGAGTTTATTTCTCGGTCTACAACACGTGTCTCTACAGGAATCCTAAGTAGGAGCGGTCACGCGAGTATCTTTGGTCAGCTGGAAAACACTGTGGAAACTACTCGCTCCTCACTAATGGCTCACCTTCCTCTAACCATCCTTTACTCGTTTCTGCAGGGATAGGTCCTGTCACAGCCTTTCAAGAAAACCCCTCCTCCGGCTCCTCCTCTTTCATGTGCCCGGTGGGGACTCCCCCCACCCCACTCACCTCTCAGGGCTGAGGGGCGCCCCAGTCAACAGCAGCAACAAAGCAAAGAAAAAGAAACTTTTTTTCTCTCCTTCAAATTCTGGAGCAAGTTCTCATTTTCCACTTTAAATAACTAATAGATGGAGGGGAAAACCAGCAGTAAAATTTCCTTGATTTTGCAGACTTTGTGCTCATCCATTTTCTTCTGCTCATCCAATTCAGGGTTGCAGTTGGACTGAAGCAATTTGAGCACTCAAAGTGCTTTCTTGGTACTATCCTCATTCACCTATTACACAAACATTCATTAAAAAGTACTTTTAACCTACGCCTGACATGCTCTTAAGTACACTGCAGTAGATGCAAGTTAATTACAGTTGACAAAATTAAGTTACTGAGCCACAGCCACCACCTAAATCCAGCCCAGATTATTCATTTATATCACTGAACACAGAGCAATTCACTCCAGCGTGCATGTCTTTGGACTGAGGACGCCAGCGTGAGGTAAAGAACACATTTGTGAAATAATACAAGGATAGAACACCCGCCCATATCATATGTTCTTAAGATATCATTTTTAACCCTGATAAGCACAGTCTCAGTACTGGGATGCTTTAACACACGGGGGGAAGAACTCCAGGTCTCATGTGACAGTGTCCTGCATATTTTAGATTTTAGATTGCACCCTGGGTCAACACACATGAATCAAATGATTCGTTTTTTACCAGGCCTCTGGAGAACTTCAAAACATGTTGAGGTAATTTAGCAATTTAAATCAGCTGTGTCGGATCAAGGACACATCTAAAAGCTGCAGGACACCAGCCCTTGAGGCTTGGAGTTCCCCAACCACTGCCTCAAACTCAATCATAAGAAAAAGACTGTACACAAACAGGATAGGAAAACCAAACGGTGTCATAAAAGCATAACTCAATGTCAACTATTTATTAGATGTTACACTGAAACAACAGCAAAAAAAGAAAGAAAGAAAGAAATGTAAACAACATTTCCGGAAACAGTCATAACTAAGCAACCACAAGTGAACACTTAACTACTGTTACTAGTATTTAGACAAAGTGTAACGGTTTAATATGTGCACCATCTACTCATTTCAGTGACTTCCAGAGTAATGAAAACAAACAAACAAAAAAAAAAACGACTACTATTCGCAACAAGTAGGTGATATCACAGTTCAATTAGTATTCATGAGGGTTTTTTTCTTCACAGCAGAGGGTCAAAGTCATAACATCAAGCTCCACAGAGTGATAATTAGGTGTCAGCATATAGCGGTGGGGGAGGAAGAAGTTCCAGCTCTGTGAAGTCAACTTCTTGTTCACTGTCAAGAAGAACACAGGGCATTACAACAGTTTATGAGAAAGAAAAAACATCTTACCTAACCCTAAGTATTACAGTACATGCTTCTATGAGTACTCAGTTTAATGTTTGTCATAATAACAAAGTTGGGCTTTCTGATCAGAAGGAAACAGGCGACACTTACGGATATGGAGGCTCCTCAACCGCACTCAAGAAGTCTAGATAAAGACGAACAGATACAAGTGTCACGTCACGTTTGAACAACCAGCAACGCAAAATAACTAACAGCAGCATGACTCCAGGTCATTTAAAGCAGATAAAAGGTTTCTCAAGTTATTTTCCATTAGGGAAAAAGTCTCCAGTGTGTATGAGTACCCCGTGTTTAGCTTCACCATTATCAGTGAGGGCGACATGTGGTGACAACAGTGGAGCCATGGCAGAGAAGGGGAGGGGAAAAACAAAACAAACCACTTACTCTGAGGTTCATGGCTAAACAGGACACAAGAAGAGGAAAGAACAGTGCTGTTGAATATAAAGACAAGCAGCTAGAAACACGACAAGTTTGCATAAATAGTGTCTGAGGTTAAAGGTTACAAAAATAAAACCTTGTAAACTTTGCTCCATCATCATGGACATCACCAAGTTCATCTTTGGTCTGGTGAAAGAAGACTGCCAACTTCTGCAGGGCTTCATGCTTAATTCTGAAGAGCAGAAGTGATGTTGCACATTTAGTTGTTTTATTTTGTCCAGCTTCCAAATTCTTACACAGAAACAAGACTGTGCAGGGTGAGCAGAACCCAACACAACACCACCTCGACTAAAGTCCTTGAAGCAGAGCTTTTTATTAAAGGCTACTTTTTGTACTTCTGGAACAGAAGACAAAACGTTTTAGCAAATTTGTATTGGCCTGAGATTTCAAAGTAAAAGCCTGGTTATAAAAGGCTCAAAAAGCTTCCTTCAGCTAAGGTAAAAGCCTTCAAGGCAATTCTATCAAAGTCAATTTTTATAATTTAGTTTTAGGCTTAACCTAAACTCAGTGTTCCATAAAAAAAAAGAAGAAAACTTATGTTACAAATCCACAGTTTTAAAAAAACAAACAAACAAAAATTAATAGTGGCGATCCTTTGTGTATTAGTAAGATGTTGATAAGTAGGTTAAATAAAACAGCAAGCGTTGGTTATTTAACCATTTCTGCCACTTAGGATTTAAAATCTCCAAATATTTTGGACTTCAAGCTTTGCTCACTTAGACAATCAGCAGCTTTTCTCACTTCTGATTCATTGTTTCGCTTAAATTTCAAGTAAATTGGCCAACATTTTACCAGCTGGCGCCCTCCCTTCGTTGGATGTGATTACAAATTGAATAGCTTTTAGATTTATACAGTTGCTTGCACAAAAGAATAAACTGGAATACCTCAGAGATGATTATAATTGGAGTTTTTAATCATTTTGTAAAAGAAAATGATGCCAATCAAGAAAAATCATACACAACAGGTTAACAAAAAGAGAACCCAGCAGTTAGCCGGTTTCTCGGTTTGGTGATTCGCCTTTCTCGGGCAGACTGTTAATCAGTTAAGATTTTTAAGTTTATCATCCAGTGTGGCAATGATAGTCTTCAGTCTCTCCTGTAATCAGTAGAGGTCTCTAGAAACACTCCCTGTATCGCTTCAGCTTCAAGGACCTTGTAAAATGTGTCCCGAAATTGTTTTTGCTTCTCTTCCACCTTTAATATTTACCTGCTCATTAACACAGTAAGTGATCATAAATTAGTCCACAACACAGCATATATACCCTTGTTAAGAAGCTGTGCAGTAATGTTTATGAAGGGTTGGAAAGGGAACTAATGTGTCTGCTCTGACATCCCTGTTTGAGACTTACTGCGAGTGCAGGTCATCCAAGTTGGCGTCATTCGGTGTGTTCTGGGCACCAGCATGAACACATGCTGACAAAGTGAACAAATGAAGGGCAGAGGTGTAAGCGGAAGGGCGAGACAGGAACGGGGTTAGTTAAAATGCAGACTGAAGAGGGAGGAAGTAAGAAAAACATATGGTAAAAGTGCACATCAAAGCCCTGCTGCAGTCTGCCATTGCATAAAACAACCAGAGTTCCCTTTAAACAGGAGAGGGTGGGGGTGCGGGTAGGCATCTTCTGTTGGCCCGTTTCAACTTCAAAAGGATGGGACATAAAAATGTACTCACACGTCTCGGGCACTGAAGCCGTCTGCTGAGAAAAGCTGCTACCCAAATTGAAGAGAAAGAATATTTAGTGTTCATTTGTCATTTTTAGAAGTGACACTGATCAAAAAGCTGCTTTGAATAAATGCCAAACATCTCACTGGCTCTCACTGAATGGTGAGAGGGTCTCATCTTCATATGCCCACTCCTCACTGTCATCTGTGACTGTGTGAAGAAGGAAAAGGGAATAAAATAAACAATGAAGCCTGACAAGCATGCTAATGAAAGCCCATGAATTCCATCAGTATCATAAAATAACACGCGGCCGTAAAGCAGATGACAGCAGTTAAGTGATACTGGCTGGGATCCAGCCTCAGTGCAGCAGCACTCAGTCAGTCATGCAGAGCCTCCTGAAACTTACAACTGCTTGTTAGAAAAGGCTGGTTTGAGGATCTGAAAAACAAAGAAAAAAATGAATCATGACACTTTTTTTTTTAATTGAGAAACTAAAAATTTGATCAGTGTGCTACCCAGTACCTGCTTCCAATACTTATGTTATCTCCCTCCATGTTGCCTCCTCGCCCTGCTGCTTGAGCCTTCTTGCCGAGTTCCAGCATCTCCTTTATATTTAGCTCCACATTCATCACTGAAATATAACCATCTGCAAAGAGAGAGCAGCAAAGTAATGACACCAAATGCGGAGACACTCCTGTTACATCAACGTCTGTTGTATCCATGCTATGTTTTTAAAGTCCAGATGTTATTAAGCCATTCTTATTTCATACTTACAAATAACACAAAAGTGAACTCACACTTGTTGTTGGCGTCTCGGGCCAACCATTTGCCTTTGGGGCAGTTGGTGGTGCGGATAATGCTGACCGTGTCCCCGCTCTTCACAGGCAGATCATTCTTGCGGACTTTACTGGCCACCATCACCTTGGCATGGTACATCGGCTCTTCGTCCCCCGTCACCTACGAGGTCACGTAAAAGACTGTATGTAAACGATGGACATATCCACGATGATGTTAGAGTTTTAAGGTTCAATATTAACATTTTGACCACTGCCCTGTCCTTTTTCTTTTTGGATGGAC